ATTCTCAGAGCGCCGAGTTCAGCCTCCAGGCTGTGCCGGCTGACACTTTTAAACGGAATCTGTGAGGAATGTTTATTTCTGTTCCTTGCCTGGCCTCCACTCAACGCGTCTCCCAGCCACCACTCCCCCCCCCCTACCCCAACCCAAATAAATAAATAACACAGTGGTTTCCTATACCCTTCCCTCCCCGCTACTCAAAGCTGTTTTTGTTCCCTTGCAAGCGCTGAGTACCCACATGGGGTCTTCGAGCAACGTTCCAAGGCGGATGGAAATGGGTCTGGGTGTCTGGGGTTGAATGTGGCCATTATACGGGGCCTCCCAGCTTTGGGGGGATGTGGTGTTTCACTCTGGAGAGCTCCAACCGCACGGCGGAACAGAGAGCATTCTCTGCTTCTGCTCAGAGCTGAATCTCAGCTGTCAGGAATACGGCCCTGTCCGCCCCAACAAGTCCCCTTTCTAAGGCCGGACGGAGAGGACCCAAACAGCAGGAAAGCCGCTCACAGATGGGTCACATCGCTGCTCTGAATAAAAAGCAACCTGTTGGTTTGGTTTTTTTAATGTGCTCCTGAATGATCAGGTCTGGACTGGCCCAAGAGGGGGGTCCCCTAAAGATGCAAACGGGGTGGGCCTCTCTTTCATGGGTTGGGGTGACAATTCCATGGCCATCTGTCCACGCCTCTGAAGTCAACTGCGCTAATTGGATGTCCACAAAACCCAGGGACATACAGGAAAGATTTTGAGCCCCTGGGGACCAGACTTTGCCCGAAACCCGAGCCATCCCACCAGCCATCACGAGCCTGCTGCCCTCTTCCAGATGGACCCCAAATCTTTATCGGGGTTACTAATTATGCCCAACCTCTGAACTCAGGAGGCCCCCAAGGTACTGTGTTCCCTGAGTTTTAGGGGCACCACGTCTTGTCTCCAGTCAGTGAGGATCCGGGACAGTTCAAAGCCATGGCCAAGAAAGGAGCCCCCTGAAACCCCCCGGGACACTGAAACAGCAGGAACACGATGAAATCCTAACCGCCCCTGACCATGCTGTAAATCGCTCCCTTCCAGCTGCTGACACCCCTCATCTGCAACTGCACCCGGAGAAGACAGCCCCCCTCCTGCCCGCGGGCGACGCTGGGGAGACAGACAAGGAGGGATGAGGCATTGGGGTGATCTTGGGGCAAAGCAGTGGTCTCCCCCAGCGCAGACTCAGCTCACGTGTGCCCGCAGGCAGAGGCCAAGCCAAAGGCGCTTCCCTTCCCCGACTCACCCGGCATGGTCCCAGGGCGGCTCCGTGCGCCTGGGCACCGAGGGGCCGTCGTGCGCCCGGGCGCGGTGCGCGGGCTCTGCGGCCTCCAGCCGGGCCGAGCGGGGTCGTCGTCTCCAAGGAGCCCGCGCAGAGTCCCAGGCCTGCGGACAACACCCGTGGCTGCAGCCCGAGCCCGGTGGCCACTCGTCTCTCCGCGTCCCCTGCGCTCCGCGGAACCCCGGCCACCTCCACGACCCCCGCGCCCTACGCCACGTCCTGCGCGCTGGGGGGCAGCCTGTGGCTTCCGGCCAGGCCCCCTCGCCGCGCGCCCACTCCACAGTCACCCGCGACTGTGCTGCGCCCCGGTCCCCCCCGCGCCCCGGTGCCATGGGCGACCCCGCCGCGCCCAGCCCTACCTCCCGGCTCCAAGGGGGTCTCTGCCCGCGCTGGGCTCACGGGAGCCGTCCGCGGCCCGGCCCTCCTGCGCGCTCCCAGCGGCCTCGGCACCCTCCCCGGCCCAGCGCCCCCAGCCGCCTCCTNGTTTGAGCTCTGAGCAACAGCGGTTCGAGTCCAGCCCGAGCTGAGCAGCCGCTGAGCTGCCAACAGGTAGCAGGATGGCTCAGCTTAAAAAAAAAAAAAGTTCATCTTGAATAGACCAAAAGGCTACAAAAAAAGTAAATGCTGACAGCATCTATTATTATTTACTCTTAACAGTCAGCTTTTCCTTGCCTAGTTTCCTCCACGAGGCTCAGCCCTTCAAAAAGATGGATAAACCGAGGTACCTTTGGTCACCCGGGAGCGTCCAGAAGAAATGCGTCCCCTGGTTGTTACAACGCCCATCCATGACTTCCCCACATCCAGCCTGGCCTTTTCAGAGCCCTCAAGAGCAACACAGCGCTATGCTTTGTACCTAGACACACAGTCACCAGAGCAGAACACCTGTACACGGGGTGACCGAGAGAAATCCAACAGGAAGACGTAGACTCAACAGGAAGTGGGACCCTTCCCCACACACATCGGGAGGCTCAACGGAAGCCAAATGTCATGTGACGACGGTCGGGCTTCAGTCTGTCACGTAGCTCACGGCCGCTGCCTTTCCAAATCTCCTCCCCCGGAAACTGGCTTGTGAATTTCCATAGCGGAGACAAAGGGCATTATCCAGACATACTCTGTTACCTGTAAGCACGCCAACAATGACCGTTCACCATGACAGAGCCCCCACGTGAATCACGACCTGCGGGCCCCGTACAAGCGTCAGGCGCCCACCATGACGGCCGGTGGTCCAGGCCGATGAAGAATTCCATGAACCTCAAGCACAGGTGACCTTGCTTCGTGTACAGGGGGAGGTGCCAGAGGGGCACAGGTGCGTCTCCGAGCCTTACCTGAGCAGGCTGGACACCTGAGGTGTGACCAGCACCACCAGCTTCCTGGTCGCCCTCTGGTTCCTCAGGGACTGCCCCAGGACCAGGGCGCCCTGGCAGTACATGTCATTGGTGGCCAGTGTGACAAAGGCCTGGTCAGACACTGCGGAGAGGAGCAAGAACGCCAGTTACGCTCCTAGCAGATCTCAGGGAAGGATGGTCTGCTCTGGTCCTCTCCTAAGCTTCACAACTCAGATGGAGTGACTCCTGGTATTCTCACAGGTTCCCTGGTGACTTTTCACTTCTGTCCTTTCATTTAAACTCACCACACACACACACACAAGTGCTAGGAAACCCCAGACATGAGGCTAAGCCAACCAGAGCCCAATTAAAATTTCCCGGGGCTACGATACCGCGGACACACACAGCTACGGCTCTCCCCACCCTCACGTTTTCTTTTGCACTGGAGTTTCAAAAACACGCCCCAAATATTTGAATCTGAGGTGACAACAGAGCGCAAGGTGGAAGGACCGGTTATCTGAGTTACGATGAAGCGGCCCACCCAGCTCAAACATTTCTCTGTGCAGAAGGGGCCAAACCCTTTAGATTCTGCAAAAAAACCCCAGCTGGGATGACTTCAGCTTGAGAATCTACGGAGCGGGGACGTGGGTGAGGCAAAATCCATCGTTACATTAACCAAAACGTTCTCCGTTTCCTCACGTCTCAACAGGAGACGGCACTCCGCCAGCAGATACATGCACAGCAATTTCAAGTCTGAGCGAGGACTCAGGCTGACAGCTTTTACGAGGACTGTTGAACAGGTTCATTCCTGGGACCCCCAAGCGTGTTGCCAGGGTAAAGACGACAGCGTGCAGCAGCCCGGCCCCTGGGAAGGCCACCGTGCTGTCTGCAGAAATTAACATGCCCCACATGCAGCGGTCAGAGCCCAGAGACCTCAGCTGTCCGAGGCCAGACTGTGCCCCCTCCAGGGCCCATGCCCTTCCGGGAGCGCGGAGAGTAAGGCCCCAGACGGGCTACATGTAACAGGACGGGGCTGCTTCTGGGGCTCAGCCTTGACCTTTACATCCCACTGGGGTGAAGTCCCCATCGGGCCTGTCCCAACAGGTGCCTCTCTCCCCACGGCTGCTGCTTTCTTTTTTTTCCCTTGGATTAAGACGATATGAGAATTCCTGGCACCTCCACTGTGAGTATTGCAGACAGCAAGGTTCACAACTCTGCAGCTGAAAAGGTATCTACTGTCATCAATCATCTATCCTATCGATCCATCTATTATCTATCACCTATGTATCCATCTATCTATTTATCAATTTTGTCATCTACCTACCATCTATGCATTGATCTATTATGTATCTATATATCTAAATATTTGTCATCTACCTGTCTCTGTCTCTGAATCAATCATCTATTTATCTAACATCTAGCTATCTATGATCTATTTATCATCTATCAATGTGTCTATCTATATATCATCTATCTGTCATCTATCAATTATCTATCTATATTCTATCTATCATCTATCTATCTAACATATCAATCTGTCATCTCTCAATCTATTATCTATCTGTATTCTATCATTTATATCTATCTAGCTGTCATCTACCTATCCATCTATCCATCTATCTATCTGTCCATCCATTTATCTATCCATCCACCCTCCCATCCATCATCTGTCTGTTTATCTCCCTATCCATCATCTAAATATCCATCGACGTGTAGTTTATGTTAAACCACGGGCCTAACGAACACAGTGTCCGCTCTCCAGGACATGGGCCGCGTTCACAGGAAGCGCGGGGAGGAAAATAACAATCCACGGAAAAGTGAGGCGTGTCGTTTTGCCCCGAGGGGGAGGCGGGATGGGGCGACATCCAGGTGGAGATGTCCCAGAAGGAACTCTGGATGACAACAAAGTGTGGGAGGAAGTGGGGTTCCTCAGGAGAGCTCCTGGTGACAAGAACAAACCACCCAGGACCACAGCAGGCCACCCCACTGACTGCCGGCCAGCCAGAAAAGAGGGTGGTGCAGCCTAACTGTCCCCAGTCAAGGTACCGGGTGGAATACAGAA